TTTTTATACGTTTCATTTGCGACATTTTAAGGATTACACTGATTACAATATTTTTATTGTATCTTTGTTCTTTTCATACTCTTTTTCTTTCTTGTTTTATCTGTGATATTTAGAGATGGCATTAATAATCTATTATTATTCTTTTTGTATGCTATCTCTATCCTTCTATTCATCAGCTTTATTTAGATTTGTTTTTAGTGTAAATACAGACAAGATTGTTTTGTTTGATATAATTTTTACAGATTTATCCTTATAAAGGTTTCAAAAAATATTATTTTTATTTTATAAATTTCTATAAAGAGTATAGTTTTTATTGTTATTTTATATTATATGTTTGTATAAATATGTTTACATACGCGCAACCGGTTTTAAGCCTAGTATTGAAAAGCATTTTTCCATTATAATAGCAGTAGCTTCAGTTAAAAGCATGCGACCAATATTTATATTTACTATTTCTCCAAGTTCATTTTTCTCAACACAATAACAATTATCATAAAATTCACTAAAAGCACATGAGATTTCATAACAATATTCGCATAATTGATGTAGGTATAAATCTTTTGTAATTTTAATTAATACATCAGCAAATTTAATTAATACTTTTGCTAACTTCCATTCCTTTTCATGCTCTAATGATATTTGATTACATTGAGCCAATTCTTGTAATTTATTTTGTGTAATATTGGCTGCTCTTGCAATAGAACGTATTCTTGTTAAAGCATATAACAAGTATACAGCAGTATTGCCTTTATCTTCCAACATTTTATCAAAGGAAAATACATATTCGTGATTTCTATTATGTGATAAATCTGCATATTTTATACATCCATAAGCAATAGATTCTTGTGCAATTTTTAATTCTTCTTCTGTAAGTACTTTATCGCGTTCTTTTTCTTTTAGTTTGTCCAATGCTCTCTTTAAACCTTAAATAAGAGATAAAGATTTTAAAAATATTATATATATTACATAATATAATATGTAATGTAATGTAATGATGCATAGAAAAATACCTTCATCAAGTAATTCACTTAATTTTACTGTATCACCTGATCTGGTTTTAAATTTCTTTTTATCTTTACCAAGAACAACACCAAATCCAACATGATCCATTCTATGATAACTTTTTATAATTCCTGCTCGTTCACCACAACTTTTTTAGTATTTGAAAATGTTTAGCTTGACCAGCATCTGTTACATATATTATCTGTAAAAATAGAATATAGCGAAAAATAAAGATAAAATATTTTATTAATATGCTAAGATAATGTAAAAATACCCAATTTGCTTTTTCTTCTTCTATACGTTGTTTAAGTGCTGCCATATCTGATGTATCATAAGTAAAACCACCATCAGATTTGACAATAGTCAAAGGAATCTCACTATTACTTTTACCCCACATTATTTTTCGTCCTTCATCATTTTCTAATAGTCCTTTTGCTTCTAAATCTTTGACTATAATTTCCATATGTTTTTGATAAAAAGATTCTCCTCTTTCTATTAAATTAATGTCTAAACGAACATATATCTTCTCGAATTCTATATTTAAAATATAAATATATACATTGAGATTAAAAATATTTTATCTAATTTTATAATATTAATTATTTTACCTTTTCTTGAAACGTCGCAAATTAATTGCCATGCTTTTATCATTTCAGGATCGAATGCTTGTAATTTAACAACACAGTTATAAGCACGTTTCTTAAATTCCTCGTCTTCATCAAATCTTGCCTTTGATTCTTTATAAAAGCTCTATAATTTTTAGAATAACTTAGAATAATTATTTGTAAATATAATGTATAATATTAATATATAATATAATAATATATAATATATAATATAATAAATATAATAAATAAAAAATAATATCTAATATAATAAAAATATACTTATAAAAACGAATTATAAAACAAAAATATATTTAAAATTATTTAAAATTACTTGGAGATCTATAATAGGTGGACATATAGTTAAATAATCAGGAAATCTATCTTGAAGATGAGCTATTAACATTCCAAATTGTGTACCCCAATCACCAATATGATTTATTCTTAATACATCATGTCCCAAAAATTCTAACAATCTTGCAATACTATCTCCAATTATAGTAGATCTTAAATGTCCAACATGCATTTCTTTGGCAATATTAGGACTTGAGAAATCTATAATCACTTTCTGTTTTTTTGTATAAGGTGGAAATACTTTTCCATTTTTTACTAAAGTGGTTAAAATTATTTGTGTAAATTCTTTTTTTAAATAGATATTTATAAAACCTGCACCAGCAACTTCTAACTTGGAGACTAAGCTTGATTCTTCTATTTTTGACATAATATTATTTGCAACATCTCGTGGTTTTGTTTGAATTCCTATATAGATATAAATATATATATATTTTAATAATATATTCTCTAATAATATTAATATTATTTCTTACCATCATTATTGAGTTGTTTACAAAGTGGCATAGCACTGTTACATTGGTAATCTCCAAATTTTGGATTGGTACTAATTGATATAATTACTGGAGGTTCACAAACATTTGGATATGCAGTTGAAATTGCTTTTTCAAATAAATTATATAATGTATCATATATACTAACGGCATTATTCTCTGTTGTTTTTGTTTTGCTTTCTGATTTTGCTCGTTCAGTTTCAATGGTCTATATAAATTAAACAAAAATATATTATTTTATTCATAAGAATAATAAAAGTTATAAAATTATTTAGATCTTTCAAATGAGTTTAATTATACAAACCCTTTTTAAAATAGCCACTCTATGTTTTAGTTTTATATTTTCTTGTTCTAATTTTATATATTCATCTTCAGATATAGAATTTATCTTCGAATCGTTAATGGTAATATTTTGTCGTAAAAATTCAATTTCTTTTTTTAAAAAAGCTATTTCTTCTTCCTGTAAAAAAAAAAAATATATATGTAATAATGAATATTATAACCTATGAGAATTATTTAACAATCTCAAATTATATTTTTATAAAAATGATAAATTTTTATAAAATAATAAATGTAAATAAATAATATAATTTACCGCAGCAGCTGCTCTTTTATGGAAATTTTCTAGATTTATAGTAGACATCGTATTAAAGGTTTACTTTCAATAAAAGGTTTACTTTTGTACAAAAATAATGCACGTGGATCTTTCAAAAAATCTTATACTTTATATATTAGATAGAAAATATATTTATATTTATACGATATATATAAATTATTAATAAATAATAAATTAAAATTATAAATAATGTATAAAATCAAATTAAATATAAAAAAAATATTTTAAAAATTCAATACCCATAATTTTATGTATATATGTATATATATATATATGTTTTATGTATATATATATATATATATATATATATATAT